TAATAACCACATACTTAGAAGAAGCATTTCATTACAACAGCATTGACATATTCAATAATAATTTTCTGAGCTAAGATGCATCTCTTACAAAATTGGCTGTACATTTTTATATGTCTTATAGGGTTTTTACAGTTATACAATATTGCACTCAGGTATGAAACTGTATTTTAATAATGAAATGGAGATCTTTTTAAAGGTTAAATTCTCATTTAATTTTATCACTTATAGGGTTTATACTGAGTACAGTATTGTATAACTGTAATAATTCAACTGTGAACCTAAAAATTTACATCCAATTTTGAAAGAGATGCATCTTAGCTCAAGAAATTGTTATTGAATATGTCAATGCTGTTGTAATGAAATGCTTCTTCTAAGTATGTGGTTATTAAATAAATAATTTTTAAAAAAAAGAACAAGAAAGAGTACATGAAGTTCTCAGAAAAAAATGAAGGGGAAATATGGGAGGAGTTGGTGGGGAGGGAGAGGGCATGGATTTGATCAGGACACCTTGTATGCTTATATGCCTGTATGAAAATCTCAATAAATTATTTTTTTAAAGAAAAAAATACAAATTAAAAAAAGAAAGTAATACAATGTTGAGGTTATACTTGAACCTGGAAGTAATATTAAGTAGATATCAGAAATCTCAGAATATTTGTCAGAATATATTTTTCTGTATGAAATAAACAAAAATTCAATAAAAACAAAAAAATGAAAAAAGTTAAAAAAAATGAAATAAAACAGAAGCAAAACAAAACAAAAAGAAATACCAGAATAACAGCATGTGCTTATTCATTCCCTTTTATCACTATCCCTCAACACATTCTGATTTTATATAGGCCAATTCAGTGAACTCTTTTAGAAGTTCCCTAAGATCAGGATAGGCTGACTCAGGTTCAACAAGCCTGAGTCCAAGTGTCTACCCTGCCGAATATATTTACAGCTTGACAAATATCTGCTTCCCCTAGTGGACAGGAGGCTGCCAACGACTGAAGAAGGGAAATGAAGAGAAGAGGTGAATATGGGTCTTGCCCTTGAAGAAGTCCCATTTCTTTGTAAATGTGACCAAGACTGCTGCTAACACATCAGAATACAGATATTTATGATTGAGGAAAGGGAAAGGAATCTAGAAAAATTCAAGGAAGCCAATATTCTGGTGTAGGAATAAGTGAAGAAGATCCTAATTTGTTGAGTTGTATTTACAGTTTATTTTTAATATACAGAAGACCCTGAATACATTTGGTGTTTGAGGGTGTATTTGCTAATTTTTAAATGATTTCTGTCTTTTTGGACATCTAATCATGTAAGAGATCTTTTCCTTACAATCACAAAGTTATCTAAATAGTTCAGAAACCATATTGAAGGTTGAAATTTACAATTCGTATTCCTGTAGGTTTGATATGCTTGAAAATTTCAAAGTTTATTGATTATTTCTCCAATTGGTATGAAAATTACTTGAATCAATAGGAGGCTTTACCAAGTAGTTTTTGTCTATTTGACACAAACTATAGTCAGTGGAGAAGAAGGAATCTCGACTGAGGGATTTCCTCCATCAGAATAGCCTATGACCATGTCTATGAGACATTTTCTTAATTTCTAATTGATGTAGGAAGGCCCAGTTCACTGTGTGTGGAGCTATGCATGAGCAGGCAGTTGTGTCTGGTT